TTTTCAGTTTTAGCTTAGTTATTTTAGTACATCAAGTTAAGCTAAATGAAAATTAGACATTTTTAGTGTTTTTGGTTTTAAACTTTTTTGGGGGTGGGGGGGTTAATAATTTGTTTCAGTTTTCTATAACCTTGGTAGCAGGTTAATTTAACTACCCACCTGCAGGTGCTTCCCCAGCAGGAGCGGCCCCACCTCCACCAGTGGCAGCGGCAGAGACCGCCACTGCACCACCCGCTGGAACGGAGGCCAACTTAGAGAGACCTGTGGGAAAACAAAAGTAAGACAACAGAGTGAGACTTATGAAGAACTCATAGCTCACATGATTTTAATATTATATAGGTCAAACTGTAAAGGCAATGCTGCCTTACCGGCATTCATGACTTCATTGATGTCTTTGCCATTCAGTTCACTGATGACCTATTGAGTAACAACAAAAACAGTGAGATTGACTCATTTGAGGAAATTAGCTGCATTATGTGAGCATCCATCTTACTGATTAAGAACAAGGAATCAAGGGCAACAGAGTTGCATGTGCAAAACCATCAGAACTATACTGCATTCCTTATAATAACTAATAATATTAATAGAATATACCCAAGAGATTTATTAAATATGGTAAATGGTTGTAAGGCAGAAAACCAATTAAACATAAATGTTAAGACGTTTAACTTTAAAACTGTTTTAAAAAAATCATTTAAATTGAGATGAAGATTTATTCGAACCAGGATCCACCTTGTTAAGACGCTCATCATCAGCCTCGATTCCAACACTCCCCAGGATGTTCTTGATGTCTTTGGCGGATGGGTTGTTGTTGCCCCCCAGAACAGCCAACAGGTAAGCGGCCACGTAACGCATTCTAGAAGTTACAAATATTACAACTGATTAATGGGTTTGTTTACAGTTATCTTATATTCATATGATCTAAAGAAGAATTTTGACCAAATATATAAAAAATATTGACTAAAAAATGTATTAAATATTTTTATGTATGTTAAAACATGTTTAAAATGTTAATATTTATAATATTAAATTATAATGTAATAACATTTCATTGAATATATATCAAAAGCAGCTCCAATAGGAGAAAAAACTCAAGACTGTCTAAATTGGTCTCACTAAGAATACTATATTTTTGGAAAATGGTATTAAATTACACAGTTTAAAAAAAACATTTAACCTAAGATATCGATTGAAATAATAAATTATAAAAGAGATTGAATGTAACCCTCCAAGCCAGGACTGAACTTCACATCAAGCAGCTGACACGGTTTATCAAGCGTTATTCATGCTTTGTTTAGGGTTAGAGACATTTACATTTTTAAATGTAAATCAAATAAACAGAACATTTTTCAGCCCTTCACGACATATTGTGTTATTAATTATAATTACTTTCTGCCATATTTCTATTCTGGAACGCAAGGACACAAAATGGAGTATGGCTATATCACATAGCATGTGCTTACAGAAGGGGAAATACAGCTGCGTTTTAATCACAAATACTACCTAAACATACTTTGACCATCTTAACATATGAACAACACGTCAAAGCAAGATTTTGTGGTAAAATGTCAATAAAAACATACTTTAAGTCTGCGAAAGACACGAAACGTCGGACACGCTGCAACTTCCGGAAAAGAGAGGACGAGTGGAGGGATATAGCTGAAGAACGTAATCTGATTGGCTGCATGATGCGCCCTGTCAAAATAGCAAACGTTGATTGGCTACTATTTGTTTTGCGTTCTGTCAACGCTGTGAGTGTGACAGCCATGATTTACTGTTGACCAAATTTCACATTCATAAGTGTACATTTACCAATAAGTAATCCAAGTTTATGGTTTTGTTGACTGAAATATGTAAATATATTGACAACATCAGAGACACTTTGACGAAGAAAGCTGTAAGAATTTTGAAAGCTTGTGAACTTTATAATATTTTTATTTGATTTATATATATA